AGGTCACATGGAGTGGGGTGGCGCCTGGGTGGCTCAGTCAGTTAGGCGGCTGACTCTTGATTTCGGCTCAGGTCATGATCTCAGGCTCCTGGGATCGAGCCCCATGTCAGGCTCCGCACTCAGCAGGGAGTCTGCTTAAAGATTCTCTCCCCCTCTGCCCACCCCCGCCCTAAAATAAATAAATAAATCTTTAAAAAAGAGGTCATGGGGATGAAAACTACAGTGCAAGGCAAAGAGTCAACACTACTGTAGTAACGTTGTATGTTAACAGATGGGATTACACTTAGTGCGGTGAGCATCGTACAATGCAGAGAATTGGCAAACCACAATATTGTACACCTGAAACTAATATAATATTAGTCAACTATACGGCAACAAAAAATAAATGAAAAAGTTTGAGCACATAAGTTTAAAAACTAGCACAGTTCTAATAAATGAGAAAACACAATGCAAAACAAATGCCATGGTTTTCACTTTTTGTTCTGAATTTACACTTTTTAAACAGTGGTAATGAACATTCAAGAAGAGATCTTTATTACTGTTTAGTTTGACTGCAGGCAGATCAAAGGAGTTAGAATGGTATGTATTAGGTAGCTGCAAAGTAGATGCTGTGCCCTTTACAGATCAAAGGATAACATCAAAGATCAGTCTCCTCTGGAACATTCCTGGAGGGTTTCTCAGAAAACAAAACACCAGCAAATACTGAAAAATACCAAGTGAGTGAGCACCCACCAATAACAATAAATCTCCAAAAATAAACTAATAATTCACATAGACTCCACTGAGATTCTAGATGCATACTGAGATGGTATATCCAAACACTGAAATTCTGAGCCCTGTCCAAAGAGAAAAAAATTGGGGGAGGGGAGGCAGTGGAAGGAGGAGAGTCTACACATTTTTGTCTTGTAAGCATTCAGCTTGTTCCGGGTCCATACTCCTTCTGCCCAATAATTACAGATGCTCTAAATGAAATCAACATCCTGACTATGGCCCTTTTGGGAATGGAAGACTGTCATGAAGCCCTGTCGAGATTCAGTCCACGCTGTTATCTCTCCAACAGGTTCGCCAGCTAAAATTCAGGATGCCCAGTTAAATCTGAATTCAACGGCCAATCATTTTTTAGTATAAGTATGTCCCATATGTGTCTCATACTAAAAAATGATTGGCCGTTGATCTAAAAATCCAAATTTCACTATGCATTCGGTATTTTTAGTTCTTGAATCTGGCAATATTACTGAAAGGCAAGGGTCCTCCACAGATCCAAAACTCCCCATAGTAAGCATTTTTCTTGTTAGGGCTTTAGATGCTACATCCTGGGAAGAGCTGGGTCTCTCGGGAGATTGCAATAAATCTTGTTGATCTTCATACCCTATTTTGCCGCAGACAAAATTAGACATGTTTAGAGCCTTAGGCAGACTTGCATAACTTCCATTTCACTCGATGTACAGTGCTTTACGTGAGAACTGACCTGGTAAACTAATTTTCCCAACGGAAAAACAGCCCAGTTTTTTTGTAGACTGACCCCGAGTGACACAATTTTTATTTTGACCTGATTTATGGAGTCTTCCAAGAATGAAATGCCTCTCTTCATCTTTTGCAGAAATGTGCCCGCCCTGCCTGCAAACTATCTGTACATAAAAAAAAAATTCTTTTAACACTTTACACCATACCAGGGGAATAATTTATACTAATCCATAAATGCTAATTTAAGAACCTCAAAATACTTTACACCAATCTTATGACACACACGGGATGAGCAAATCAAGATTCAATTTTTTTAAGTTATCCAGTATTGTGCACAAAGTCTAGAACAGTGTGTTTCCTCTGATGTCAAGTATGCCATTCACTGGTGCCAAAGAAAAGTCCCTTTTTTTTTTTTTTAAGATTTTTATTTATTTATTTGACAGAGAGAGACACAGTGAGAAAGGGAACACAAGCAGGGGGAGTGGGAGAGGGAGAAGCAAGCTTCCCGTGGAGCAGGGAGCCCAGTGCGGGGCTCTATCCCAGGACCCCGGGATCATGACCTGAAACGAAGGCAGACGCTTAATGACTGAGCCACCCAGGCGCCCCTCTTTTTTTTTAAGTTAGTTATTTTAAGTAGGCTCCACACTCAGCATGGAGCCCAACACAGGGCTTTAATTCACAACCCTGAGATCAAGACCTGAGCAGAGATCAACAGTTGGACACTTAATCGACTGGGCCACCCAGACACCCCTTTAAAGACTTTAAAGTACTCTCTACACTCCATGTGGGGCTCAAACTTACAACCCCAAGATCAAGAGTCACATACTCTACTGACTGAGCCAGCCAGGTATCCCAAAAAGTCACATTTTAAGATTTCTTTAAAAAAAAAAGGGGGGGGTCGCCTGGGTGGCTCAGTCAGTTAAGCCTCTGCCTTCAGCTCAGGTCATGATCTCAGGGGCTTGGGATCGAGAACCACACTGGGCTTTCTCCCTCTCCCTCTGCCACGTCCCCCCCACCCTGCCCTGCTTGTGTGTGCGTGTTCTCGCTCTCTCAAATAAATAAAATAAAATCTTAAGAAAAAAAAAAGAGGGGCGTCTGGGTGGCTCAGTCAGTTAAGCGTCTGCTTTCCACTCAGGTCATGACCTGGGATCAAGCCCTACATCTCTGCTTTTCCTTCTCCCTCTGTGCTCTAATAAATAAAATCTTAAAAAAAAAAGTTTCTTGTTCACCAGAAAAATAAGATAACTGCTTAGAAAGAGAACATTTTAAATAAAACCTGAGCAGTGGAATAGTGGCCCACACAGTTCTGTTTAGAGTATACTCTCTAGTTTAGGTTGAAAGAAAAAAAACTGGAAATCACTCTGCTATCTGGGGCAAGATGGAAAGAACTTCAAGGTTAATCACCTTAACTAAACCTCTCTACTCCCCCCAAAAACAACAACAGATGGAGAACAGAAGCACCTGGGAGCATGCTGATGAGTGGTTCATAGCCATAAATTCTGAGATAAACCCGTAAATTGTGTCAAAATATTAATTATGGGTAATAGCTCAGGAGATTGCCATACTTACCTCAGGTCATATAAGAGATCAGATTACAACTAAAGAGTGACATGAAATGACCACCACCCAAGTAGCTGGTGTGACACTGTCAGAAGAGGATTAGGGAGTGGACCAGATCACCTCCTAAGGCCACCTCCAAACATGGGTTTTGACAGGGAAGAAGTGTGTATGATATATTAGGAAGAGATCTCAATGAACTTAGTAACAAATACATGTAATTTGTAATCTGTTTTGTCTAATGCAGAGATTCCAAGATACTGATATAATCTCTATTAGTCATGTTCTCATTATACCAACATAAGCATTAACAACTGTAAAGCTGAATCCTTTAGTCTAGACCAGTGGTTCTCCACCACATCAGACCCAATGCTCCCTTCTTTACTGCTTCATAAATGTACTGAAATGGAATTCATACTTAACATTACCTACTCATATAGGACTTACAATCAACAAAAGGCTCATTTCAGTGAAATGAAAGAAGAGCAGTTTGTAACAGGAAAACACGTATTTCAGTCTGTAAATACTCAGGCATGACCACACTAGAAGATGTGATGAAATAAGGAAATGCTATTCCAAGGGCAAGAATCCAAACACTGAGTCCCTGTCCCTGAACCGAGGCCTCCCCTCAGCACTTCAGGGCAAATCCTGAAGATCTGTCAGGACCAAGACAACTCTTGATTTTTACACTAAGAACAACAAGACTGAAAACATCACTCCATCTAGAGCCCATTAAGGTCCATGCAATCATCAATGATGTGGGCGAACTTTTAAAGAGGGAACTGTGCTGGGCAGCCTCTTCAGGAAAAGTTCCTTCACTGGAAGGTTTATGAGGTCATGGTTCAGGGAAGTGAGGGATCAAGAGCCAGAATAAGAAATTTCTATTTCCACATCTCCCTAAACCTGTCTTCTATGGACTCTCGCCACACTCTGAGCTGGTCTCATTCCATGTCTGCCATCTATCTGCTTCTACAAACATGTTGATTCTTCTTCTATCCTGATTCTCTAAAATTACAGAATGGTAGGCTGGGGAATGTATTTTGCTATTACCTAATTTTGATCCCCATTTTAGAGGTTAGTAAATTTAGTCTCGTGCGGGGTCGTGAGGATTGTTAAGAGCAGAGTTAGAGGCCTCTTGACTTCCAGGCCAGGACTGCGTTCACTGTGCCACACTTAAGGAAAAATAAGCTTGATGTTGAAAGATCTTTTTGAGGGGCACCTGGGTGGCTCAGTCAGTTAAGCCTCTGCCTTGGGCTCAGGTCGTAATTCCAGGGTCTTGGGATTGAGTCCTGCATCGGGCTCCCTGCTCAGTGGGGAGTCTGCTTCTCCTTCTCCCTCTGCCCTCCCCCTGGCTTGTGCTCTCTTGCTCTCTCTCTCTCTCTCTCTCTCTCAAATAAATAAACCAAATCTTTCTGAGAAACTGAAATCTACTAAGGAAAACAAACAACAAAAATTTAAAAGATTCTGTCTGAAAGCATCCCACCATCTTTTTCCAAAGCTCCATGAAGTTTCTCTGAAATCAAGCAGTTAAAAATATTAGTAGACATGCAATATAAAGTGTAACTCTTTCCATGATAAGAGCTTTTTTTAATGGTGGCCTAGCATTCCACTATTTGGATGTTCTGTATTTTGTTTAATCAACTGCTTCTTATTGGATATCTAAGCTATTTCTTTTTATTATTCACTTAGTGGATTGTAAATTGTTAATGAATCAATGAGAAATGTTTATATTTATCCAATTAAAAAAAAGCGGTCAAAAAAAAAAAAACACAAAGAAGGAAAAAGCAAGCAACATTACTTGTGAAGAGCCAGAGTTTTATAAACTAAGGAAAAACACTGCAAATTGTTTTTTTTTAGAATACATCGAATTCTACATTATAACTATGCCCAATGCCAAACATTTCTTCTTCTCCATCCCCCTTTATTCAACTATTGAATATTACCCCAAATAACCATGCAAATTCATAATGAAAAATTACCTGCATTTAAAATACACAGTGCCCTCGTGGCTTCCATCATGCTTTCCTCTCTCAGGATTGTCCCATTCTACTCCTAACCAGAGTCCTAGCAGAATAAGAAAAACCAAATGAGGAATAAGTGAGGACAGAGATAATTAATGCTCCTTTTTGCTGCAAGCAAATACAGTTGGCAATGGAAACCCTGTCACACAGACACCGTGGGGGGGGGCAAAAAATAGCTTTTGAAAAAGAGCAAGTTAACCCTGGACTCGGGACTGCAATCAGCAAATATGATAGCATGTTTGGTTCAAAAGCCAACAAAAACTACAACTGCAGGAAACAATAGCTAAAATTTACTGAGCACTTACTGAATGCCAGAAAGTTTCTTTGCAATATCTCATATTAGCCTCACAACAGACATTTCATCTACGTAAAGCAGATAGTGTTACCTTCTTTTTTACCAATTCCTGGACTAAAATGCAAATTTTTGAAGTCCTAGTCTACTAACCCCTTTTCATAAAATAAAAATCCATATATAAACAGTATCTTTTATTAACCATAGGTAAAATAACTTGCTCAAAGTCACACAACTTCAAACCCAGGTCATTCTCATCCAGAAGGCAAGGCTTACCCACCACACTTTGCTGTCTATGACTCATACCTTATATTTCTATACCACCTCAGTTTCCAGAGCATTTTCTTTACCTTTCCTCCTCCCACTCTATATTCAGCACCGTGCTAGGTGCAAAAGAAAGCCAGAGAGGTTCACTTCTGCATCAACCCTCCTGGTGAAAACTAGAAAAGCTAGATAAACTATTTTTGAAAATCACTTCACATCAATTATGATGGCAAAAGTCAAAAAACAAAAGAAAACAAAATAACAAGTGCTGGTGAGGATGTGAAAAAATTAGAACCCTTGTGCACTACTGATGAGAACATAAAATGCTGCAGCCACTATGGAAAACAGTAGGATAATTCCTCAAAAACCTAAACACAGAATTTCCAAATGATCTAGCTAGTCCACTTCTGGGCATATACCTAAAAGAACTGAAGGCAGGGACTGAGACACCTGCATATTTATGTTTATAGCAGCATTATACACAACAGCCAAAAGGTGGAAGCAACCCAAGTGTCCATTAATGATGCATGGACAAACAAAATGTGGTGTATCCAGCCTTTAAAAGGAATGAAATTGAGACATGCTACAGCATGGTTGAACTCTGAAGATATTATGCTAAAATGACATAAGCCAAACACAAAAAAAGACAAGATAGGATTCCACATATATGAGACACTCTCTAGAGCAAATTCATAGAGACAGAAAGTAAAATGGGGGTCATCAGGGGCTGAGGGGAGAAGAGAATGGGGAGTTATTATTTAACGGGTACAGAGTTTCAGTTTCATATGGAGAGCTCCAGATACACGGTGGTGAAGGCTGCACAACAATGTTAATCTGCTTAATACTACTGAACTCTACACTGAAAAATGGTTAAAATGGTCAATTAAGTTATGTATATTTACTACAATTTTAAAAATATGTGTACATCCCAGAGAGCTACTAAGGCAGTGAGGAATTACAAGGCCAACATGTGGGAGAAGAGGGAAACCGAAAGAGTTGAATAAGCATTTAGAGCAATCTTTTCTCCTGAGGCACCTGATAATTCCAATATAAGAAGCTAAAAAGCTGAACAGAGCTTTGGACAGATGTCAGGGGCTAAGAAATCAATACTGAAGGGCGCCTGGGTGGCTCAGTCGTTAAGCGTCTGCCTTCGGCTCAGATCATGGTTCCAGGGTCCTGGGATCAAGCTCCGCATCGGGCTCCCTGCTCCGCGGGAAGCCTGCTTCTCCCTCTCCCACTCCCCCTGCTTGTTCTCCTGCTCTCGCTATCTCTCTGTGTCAAATAAATAAATAAAATCTTAAAAAAAAAAAAAAAAAAGAAATCAATACTGAAAATCACAGCCCCCCAAGGAAGGTGAAAGCTGCTGAGAAACTCTAGGATTTGTACTGGGCTCAAAATGTCTTCACTCTAAGAGTAAGGAGGAACCACTGCTAAATAAACTAACCATTGTAGGGATTAAAGGCCAACTTCAAGTAATCTCATTCTCAGATAAATTTAAAGTGATCTAGGATTGCTACTGACCTTAGCTATCCGCCAGAGTAAATTTCAGTCCTCTCTGGAGGAAGAGAACACTATTAAAAAGCTCAAATTATAATTTTTTGTCATCATATCTGGCACTCTAACAAATATATCCAAGCATAGATAAAGACAAAGACTCCATGACTGAGAACCAAGGAAAACAACAGCCAACATAAACGGATTCATCAGACATCTGCACAATGGAGTTTTAACTTTAATATTTTCAGGAAAATAAAAGATGAGCTTGAAATTTCAGCAGAAAATATTAAAATTGTATTTTTTCAAATCCTAAATAAAAACTGGAACTGAAAAACACAATTCAAAGGGATACATCCAAAGGGATACATGTATCCTTATTGTTTATAGCAGCATTATTTACAATAGCCAAGATATGGAAGCAGCCGAAGTGTCCACACATGAATGGATAAAGAAGATGTGGTGTATATATACAATGGAACATTACTCAGCCATAAAAAGGAATGAAATCTTGCCATTTGCAATGGCATGGATGAAGCCAGAGAATATAATGCTAAGCAAAGTAAGTCAGAGAAAGACAAATACCACATTTCACTCATATGTGGAATTTAAGAAACAAAATAAGCAAAGGGGGGAAAAAGGAGACACAAATCAAGAAACAGACTCTTAATTATAGACAACAAGCTGATGGTTACGAGAGGAGAGGTGGGTGGGGGGGTGGGTGAAATAGGTGATGGGGATTAAGGAGTGCACTTGTCATGATGAGCACTGGGTGATGTACGGAAGTGCTGAATCACTATACTGTACACCGGAGACTAATACAACACTGTATGTTAACTAACAGAAATTAAAATAAAAACCTAAAAAAGAAAAAAAAAAAAAGACAACCCAACTGAAAAATGGACAAAGGACTTGGACAGATATTTCTCCAAAGATATACAAATGGCCAATAAACACACAAAAAGAGGATCCTTAATAATTACAGAAATCTAAACTGAAACCGCAATGAGATACCACTTCACATGTAATAGCATGGCTATAACCAAAACAATGGAAAGTAACAAGTGCTAGTAAGGATATGGAAAAACTGGAACCCTCATACACTGCTGGTGGAAACATAAAATGGTGTTGCCACTTTGGAAAACATTTTGGTGGTTCCTGAAAAAGCTAAATGTAGAATTACCATACAACTCATCAATTCTACTTACAGGCATATAACCACAGGCATTAAAGAAGACTCAGACATTTGTATGCCAATGTTCATTGCAGCATTACCCACAATAGCCAATAGGTAGAAATAACCCAAATACCCATCAACAGATGGACAGATAAAAAACGTGATATACATACAATGGAATATTCAGCCACAAAAAGGAATGAAGTTCTCACCCATGCTACATGGGTGAACCTTGAAGACATTTTGTTTAAAATATGCCATCCTGAAAAGACAAATGCTATATGGTTCTATTTATATGCGATACCTAGACTAGTCACTATTTACCTATACACTTAAAAATGGTTAAGATGGAAAAAACAAAAGGTTAAAATGGTAAATTTTATGTTACGTATATTTTACAATTAAATATGTTAACATTTTAAAAATAGTTAGGGGGGGAAGAAGAGATGAATAGGTGGGGCACAGAGAATTTCTAAGGCAGTGAACCTACTCTGTATGATACATGTCATTATAAATTTTCCCAAACCGACAGAATATACAACACCGAGAGTGAACTTAGATAGACTTTGAGTGACAATGATGTATCGATACAGGTTTGTGAACTGCAACAAATATACACTCTGGTGGGGAACCCTGGTAAAGGGGGAAGCTATGCATGTGTGGGGGCAGGAGGAAATCTACCTGCTCTTCAATTTTGCTATGAACTTAAAACTACTCTAAAAAATAAAGCCTATTCAGGGCGCCTGGGTGGCTCAGATGGTTAAGCGTCTGCCTTCCACTCAGGTCATGATCCCAGGCTCCTGGGATCGAGTCCCACATCGGGCTCCCTGCTCAGTGGGGAAGCCTGCTTCTCCCTCTGCTTCTCTCTCTCTCTCTCATGAATAAATAAATAAAATCTTTAAAAAAATAAATAAAGCCTATTCAAAAAAGGTTAAAATGGTAAATTTTGTCATATTTTACAATTTAAAAGATTTTAATAAAAAATGGTCAAAATGGCAAATTTTATGTTTTATATACACGTAACCACAATTTCAAAAATTTAAAAAACAATTTCAGCAAAGAAAAATTATAGGGGTGATCTTCAAGGATAAAGAAAATTATCCCAGGTGAAAACCTGAGGATACAAAGGGGAAGAAAAGGCAAGAAAAGGGTAAATATATGGCTACATCTAAATTAATAAAACTGATATAAACTATTATCAGTTCTTGGTACTTTATACACACAGATTAAAATATCCAACATATGAGTTAGGAAGTGGGTAAGCAGAATTAGTATTCAGGTATTCTAAGGTCTTTGCATGAGTCCAGGAAGAAGTAAAATTACTAATTAGACTTTGTAGGTCAGAGATGCATGTTTTGACCTCCATGATAATTACTTAATAAAAGATGTATGATTAAGAGAGAGGAAAAATAAAGTTTAAAAAATAATCCAATAAAAGGGGGGGAAAGGAGGGGAAAAAAAGAAGAAAAAAGCAGAGGCAAGACAAATAGAAAACAAATAGTAAGATGGTAGCTATAAACCCAAATTATCAATAAATAAGTGAAAAAAGAAAGGACTAAATGTTCTGATTGAGTCAGCAGAAACCGTCACTGGGATTTGTATAGGGATCAAACAGAATTTCAGATTGCTTTGGGTGGTACTGACATTTTAATAATAGTAACTCAATCCATGAACACGGATGTCTTTCCATTTATTTGTGTTTCATTTCCTTCAGCAACGTTTTACAGGTTTCATTGTATAGGTCTTTCACTTCCTTGGTTAATTCCTAAATATTTTATTCTTTTTGATGTGATACATGTATACAATGGAGTATTAC